AATGGCTCTTTGAGAGGCCTCTGCAGTTCTCCTTGAGGCAGTCACCTTAGGTGGACGCTGTATTAGTTACTGTTCCTGTTTTTGTGATAAAATACTCTGACAAAAGCAACTTAAGGGGGAAATGGTTTATTGTGGCTCACAGTTCCAAGGTATGTACGGTCCATCATGGTAACAAAGTCATAATGACAGAAGCTTGAGGCAGCTGGTCACACTGTAGCCACAGAAGCAGGGAATGATAAACAGCTTGCTTTCTTCCTTTTTATTCAGTCCAGGAACCAGCTCATGGAATAGTGTCACCCATCTGTCATTGGGCAGATCTTCCCACCACAATTAACCTAATCCAGATAATCCCTCATGGTGGGCCCAGAGCTAACCTAAGGTAGATAATCACTTGTAAGTATGGTCAGATGCTTAGCTCCTAGGTGATTCTGGATCCCATCAGGTTGAAAATTTTAACTATCACAATCCCTTGTCAACTTGACATCCAAACACATCACTTTTAATCTATAACCTTTTACCCCTTCTCCCCTTAGGTTCACAGCCATCTCATAATGTAAAATGAATTCAGTCCAACTTCAGAAGTCCCCACATTCTTAACAATTCCAACGCTGTTTAAAAGTCCAAGATCTCTCTGGAGATTCAAGGCAATCTCTTAACTGTGAGCCCCTGTACAATAAAAAAAAAAAAATCAAAAGTGACTTTTGAAAGAGATGCATCCTTGCTCCAGAATGTGTTACTGAATATAAAGCTATAATGAAATGCTTCTTCTAATCATGTGGTTATTAAATAAAATTTTTTAAAAATCAGTTACATACAATGGCACAGAGTAAATACTCCCATTCTAAAGGAGAGGAATAGGATCATAGCAAAAAAAGACTGAACTAAAACAAGATGTAAAGAAAACAAAACAGCAGGAAAACTTGCTCAATCCTGCAGCTGGCATTTGGGATTATGATAGAACCTTCTGGACTCTGACAAGCTTAGGTAGCCCTGACCTTCCAGCTCTGCTGTTTGCAGCACACAGAGCCAGTCTCTTGGTCCAGTTCCATTCCACGCCTGCAGCTTCCCTCAGCGGACACCCCATGGTCCTAGTATTTCCACCATCCAGGGCTCGCCATTACAACTTAGGCTTGATCTTTACAGCTTCATACAGTGGCCTATCAGGGTCTCCTTTCAGGGACTCTGACCTTGCCACACATGCCAAATATTGCCTGGCCTCAGCAGCTCTCTGAAAATGGAGCAAGATTCTGTGACTCTTTGGAGATGGAGATATGGCTTAGTGGTTAAGAGCACTGGCTGTTCTTGCAGAAGACCTGGATTCAAATCCCACACTCACGTGGGGGCTAACAATCATCTGTAACTCCAGTTCCAGGGATCCAATGCCCTCTTCTGTCCTCTGCGGGCATTGCATGACATGGGTGCACTTACATACATACAGGCAACACACACATACAAATAATAATAATAATAATATTCTGTGACTCGTTCAATCTCACATTTTTCATGCCGGCAAAACCAGCACTATGTGGATGGCATTGCCAAGTTCTGCTATTGGCTTGGGCTGGAGCCTGGCCTCCTTGGACCACAGCTGTAGTGGCTTCTGTATGCTTGGGGTCTGAGCCTGCAAAATGCCTTTCCTAAGCAGCTGTTGGGAGCAGGGGGCTCCTTTTGTGGCATTCTCAGTTCCAGCTTTGTGTTCTTCTAAATTCAGATCAGAATGGCCATTAAGCTGTGCTTACACATTTGAGGGCTTTTCTAACTCCAAATCCCAAACTCTTCCACATTCTTTCTACAGCCCCAAAGCTGAAGAACCACATGGTAATGTTTATCACAGCAATGATCCCTCTTCTTGGTACTGATTTTCTGTAAATTACCTTTCCTGTTGCTATGATAAGATACCCTGACCAAGGCAACTAAAGGAAGTGTATTCATTTCTGTTTCCTTTCTGTTGCTGTGATAAAACTTCCAGAGGCAACTTGGGGAGGAAAGGGTTTATCTGGCTTACACTTTCAGGTCACAGTCTATCACAGAAGGAAGACAAGGCTGGAACCTGGAGGCAGGAACTGTAGGAGGACACTGCTTGCTGGCTCACCCTCTGGTTGTTTACAGGCTCATGCTTAGCTAGCTTTCTTATACAGCCCAGGACCACCACCCTAGGAATGGTATCACTTATAGTGTGCTGGGCTCTCTTGTATTGTTTGCTAATCAGGAAATCTCCTACAAACATGCCCACAGACAATCTGATATAGGAAATTCCTCAACTGAGGCTTTCCTCTCAGATGACTGGAGGCTGTGTCAACCTGACAATGAAAGCTAATAAGGACAGGCAGGAAGGGTTTATTCTGGCTCACAGTTCAAGGATATAGTCTGTCATGGTGGGGAAGTCAAGGCAGCAGGAGTTTGAAGGAGCTGGCCAAACTGCATCTATAGTCAGGAAGCAGGGAATAATGAACACTTAGCTTGTTTTTTCCTAGTCATTCAATTAGGACCCCCCCCCCCCCCCCCCCCAAAATAAATTGGGCCCCCCCCCCCCCCGCCACCACAGAACACCGCTACCCACAGTGGGTGGGTCCTCCCACTTTGATTAACCTAATCTAAATAATCCCTCGCAGGCATGTCCAGAGGCTTGTCTCCCAGGCACTTCTAGATCCCTTCAAGTTGACAATATTAACCATTACAAACTCCAACTGTTCAGAGTGACCAGGCTCAGAAGAGGCTACAGATACGTGCAGCAAGTCTGATGCAGTGAGGAGTCAGGAAGCATGCCTTGTACACTGTCATCCTAGGCCCCATTCAGAAGCATCAGCCTGTTACCATGTCCCCTGTCCTTTGGGGCTCCTGTGTAAAGATCAAGAGGGGACATGGATGCCTTCAGGATCTGAACTGGTTCTAACAGATCTTGTTTCTTCTTTCTTGCTGGGTCATTGTCAGAAGAGGGGTCCATTTTGGATAATGGACCTCTTTGTTACAAGCTGCTACAGGCACTGATTCCTATTAGACACCAGAGGACACTGAGTACCCAGGTTTCACAGGTGGTGCTGATATCTGCCACAATGCTCTCCTGCATGTGGGACTCATGATCTCTGAAGTGCAAAGTGGCTGTTCATATTCTGGACTAACTTATGTTTTGAAAATTTTTCCTGTGTGAATCTCATGACATGGTCTAGAGCGTGGGTGTTCCAATGGTACGGCAGGTTTACTTCTGGTACCAGTGGGTTAGGTGGGTTGTGGGAGTCTGCATGAGCCCTCAGAGCTGGAATTCTCTTAGGAGCAGGAAAAGGCCTTGGGGAAACAGAGGGGCACAGACCCATTCTCAACTGATGACTGTTTAGACAGGGGCCACCAGCTTGACTATGAAGCCTGCCACCTCCTGGCTATGTACCTGGTCCAGTCCCATGCCTTCCCAGCTCCCAGTTCCCTGGCTGTTAAATTGGGATAACAGTTGATTATGTCTCAGTGGAGAGTTGGGGAGAAAGGCCTCTGGGATCTGTTTGAATGTCAGCTCCACTTAGCCAGGCTTCAGGCCAGGGCTTGGCATGAATAAGGTATTTGACAAATGTTTCCTCAGGTTTTGGGTTAGGGGGCTGAACTGTGGATTTTATAGGTGCCCAGTAGTCATGGGGGTGAAGGGCTGTCTGGAAATACAGCCTAAAGCTTGATCAGAAATGGCCTACTGCTAAATGCTGCGGAAAAGCAGTGACTGGTCACCCTGTGTACCCACACTCAGATCTAGCCACAAGAGGGGTCTCACCCAGTGGGCCCTAGGGCTCTGTACAAGGCTTTGGCTCCAGGTTTGGAATCTGCTTTTCCTAACTCCTTTGAAAATCCAAGGGCAAAGTCCAGATTAATAGTATGGAAAGATGCCATTAAAGCCATTCCTCCCTCTGGAAGGCAGCTGCCCACCCCCACGTGCTTGATGATAATGGCCACCCCTCATCAAATATTTATCCCAGCACTCACAGTCCTCCATCAGCCTCCAGCATCTTGCTGGGGATAGAATCTGATTATTAACGCTGGTCATGAGTGAAGCAGGCCAACTACAAAGTGCCCAGGATGGAAAGGGGGAAACATCAAAGCCCTGTGTTCTCCCTTAAAGGTCGCCTTCCTTCTGGAAGTGGAGGCCGCCCGCAGGGAGCAACCTGGGGAGTTGGCAGTCCTGGCCCTCTGTGTGCCTCCTGGATCTGGGCATCTTTTGCACCTTTCCTTCCTCTGCACTGGGGCAGAAGGCAGAGAGGTCCAAGCCTAGGGCCAAGGGCCTGGCTACCAGCCTCAGGTTTATGAAAGCAAATAGCTTCCTTGCCTGCTTCAGAGATGTGACTCCACTTTCAAGGGAGGCCCTGGCATTTCATTGGTGGCCCTTTTGAAGCTTGCCCTTTGCAAAACAAAGGAGAGAAGGGAGAAAGGAATGGCAATGATTCAAAGGCCTCCTGGATAGGCTTACCTTGGGGACTGATGATGGTCTGCTGCCAGACCACTGCAATAAAGCAAATTCGCCATAAAGTGAGTCATAGGCATCTTTTGGTTCCCAACACATAGAGAGTTAAACTTACCTGATACTGTCATCTGTTATGTGCACAATAGCATTATGTTGAAAAAAAAAAAAACACATGTAATTTATCATAATTAACAAACACTGCCAAGAAATGCCAATGATCATCTGAGCTGAAGGAGAATGGGGATGACAGGTTTGATCAACACAGGTTGCCATGAACCTTCAATTTGTCAAAATGCAGTATCTGTGAACTGCAGTCAAGCAGTGCACAGGAAAACAAGGCATGCCTGTAGTCTATTCAGTTTCTAAGGCCCCTCTCCGTGGCTTCACTCATTACATGGATGGAACAGCCTGTCAGGCGAGAATCATGCCTGGTGCTTAATGGAACCCAGGGACCAATTAACCACACTGGGAGCCAATGGGCCAAACATTTCTAAAAGGAATACCAGGGAACTCTTACATTAGTGCCTGTTTCCCCTTCTCCCAAATAAAAGACAAACACTATGTCAACACTTTCTCAAGAGAGAGCCTTTATTTCCTGAAAGTTCTAAAGCAGACCCATTTATCAAATGATGACTGATACTCTAATTCACAATGCCTTCTCCTTTCCAAATGCTGCAGCCAGGGTGAAGCCATGACATCAAAAGCGGCCTTCCACACCCAGCAGCTGCACTGCAGCCTGCTGCACTGCCTGGTGGACACTGTTGACTTCCTTCTGGGACAGTGTCCGCTCCATGTGGCGGTAGGTGATTCGGTAGCAGTGGCTTGTCCTGTGTGTCCTGGAGAGAGGAAGAGAATGTGGTAGGTAAGTGAAAAACATGTTTGCACAGGCAGGAGCAGTATCACCTGTTGAGATCAGACCCAGTGCCATCGGATCCAGGCACCTGGTACATGTCACTACAGAAACATCACTTGCCATTAAGGATCACATCTTTTCAATGCACAAGAGGGTGATGGTTAAGGCAATATTGGCTTGAATAATGGAGATGCTGGCTCCCCTAGGCTTGGATGCTTCACAGTGTCCTAGAAAGGAGATTCTCACAGGTTTGATATCTTGGACTGAGTCTATTGCATCTGATCCCAGGGCCAGAACCCACTGTTCTGAGCTCTTTCCTGGCTCCCCGGGTGTTTCTGACAGCAGAAGTGTTGGAAGCCAATGCCAGTGGTCTCTACCTTGTTCATGGCAGGGGAAGAACTGGGTTTGTATGGCACACTGCACTAGTGGGGCCCAAGGCAAGGCTGGGAAGTATCCTCCCCAGCATCTCTGTGGGCTTAGGAAGCACAGAACAGTCATGCCACACAGATGTGCACATCACACATGTTTTACTTTACCATGGTGGTGCTGTTGGATTCAGGCGTAGCTGTGAATGTGTGCAGTGGCAACAGTAAGGCTTATTCTTACATAGCAGTTGCTATGACACACTGGTATGGTGACCTCACCAGAAAGACCACAGGGTTATGAGCTGGTATCACTGACTCTCCTCTGTAGTACCTCTCACTGGTTGTGTGGTATGAAGGTGAACTGAACAACCCACTCTGGGCACTTTAATTTCTCTTCTGCATAACGAGGGCCCATGGGAACTCCTGTTTTCCAGCGCACAGAGTAGCAGAATCAACCCTGCCTCTCACATGGAGAAGCTGCAGGAAAGCAAGTGGCCCCCAGAGAGCTCCCCTCGGAATGATGTCCTTCATCTTGGAGCCTTATCAGGAGAGGACACAGTGTTTTTCAGCAGGTAAAGCAGGGCTGGGTCTTCAGTCATGCCAGAGCTTTGGACAAGTGTGCCTCAGTATCCCCAAGTTCCCCACAGGAGGACCTGACAGTTCCCAGCATGACCACCCAAGCCCAGAGCCTCTGCTTCCAGGGGCTTCCTGACCCTTCGAGATTGCTCTCACAGCGGTGTCCTCTCCTTTCCTCTCCCAACCTCTGATTTAAGATCAGACTCAGATATAGGCAGAATACACCTGGGAAAAGAGGTATCTGCCTTAGTCCCAGCCCCAAATATCTCCTTCACCTCCTCTTCCAGTGTCTTCCCTACTCTGGCTTATTCATCTTGCTCCTCTTTCTTTTCCCCTCACACCTTGAGCCCATATTTGGGAAGGATGAGCTTCTAGGACCGTGTGCTGTGCCTCATAGGGCCTGTACTTCAGTCAGGCATAGCCTCTGTCTGCAAGGAGTAAAAGAAGAAGTCACCTCAGAGATGCTCATGACCTGCCTGGCTGGACAGAATGCCCCATTCTGCTCCAGCCTCAGCAGTCTGCTCTAGATAAGAAGGAAAACAGACCTCCCTCTACCTCCTTTCTTTCTTTCCCAGCCCAGCTCAGGTCATGAATGGAGGCTGGTCATAAGAAAGAGACCCAGGTCTGCTCAGTCTTAGAGATCAGTCTGCCCTGTAAACCATGTAAACCAAATAAACCACAGGCCCATGGAGCCGAAGGCTCTGGCAGCTTACTGGAATTTCCTGAAGGGAGGGATGCCCCCTGTGACCACCAACCCCAAGGGTCTGGATCAGAACTTTGTGCTGCTTTATATCCTTCACTTCTGCCCCCCTCCCCCCCGGTGCTTTGCAATCTTTCACCAGCACACAGAAATTCACTTGTGACTGACATCTTCATTGAGCGTACAGTGTTACTGTCCCTAAAATATAGTTAAGGAATCAGGTATAGAGCACAGAAGTAACTTGTCTAAGCTCAGACAGCAAATAGGTAGCCAGACTAGATTCTGAGCCAGGCAATGGGGCAAGAATACAAAACTACAAGTTGCTGGAGAAAACTTTGGTGGGTCTTCAAACGATTAGACATAGAATTACTACATACCCTAGTAATTCCTGGGAATATACCCCCAGAGAACCGAAAGCAGCTGTTCAAACTAAAACTTGGACAAGAATTTGCAGCTGAGCATGGTGATGCAGGCCTGTAATCCCCGCTACTTGAGGAGGCTGAGGCAGAAGGATCACAAACTCAAGGCTTGCTTGGACTACAGAGTAAGTTCAAGGGCAGCCTTGGCAACTTCACGAGACCCTGTCTCAAAATAAAAACTAAAAAGAGGCTTTGGGATATAGTTCAGTGGTAGAGCATTTGCCAACGGTGGTGTGTGATGACCCAGGTTCACCCCCTGGTGTGTGCGTGTGCATGCGTGCACACACAAACACACACACACACATTTTCCTAAAAGCCCTATATTTAATCATTACCAACAGATAAATGTATATAAACACGATGTGTTATTACCATAGAACGGATTATTATTTAACACCAATAAAAGAGGAATGCAACACTAATACTAATGAGTAGAACTAGATGAACTTCACAATGGCAGTGTGTAGAAGTCTGACACAGCACTCCACTTATAGGAAGCATCCAGATTAGGGCAGCCTGTGTTAGTACAGAACATATTGGTATTTACCAGGGACTGCTGGGAGGAGAAACTGCTTAGTGGTATGGCATCTCCTTTTGATGTGATGAAACTGTTTTGGAACTAGAGAAACATACTGGCTATGTGATCTGTCAAACAACAATGAACTTTCAAAGTGGATAATTTCATGTAATATGAATTCCATTTTAATAAAACGGAAACGAAATCTAGAAAATTTGATTTCATAGTCCAGCCTTGACCATTACATCCAAGAGATTCATCAAACACATCCCTTCCCTTTTACACCTCCAGTCTCTTGCTGTGGTTTTAATCCTGAATCTTCCCAAAGGCCCCAGCTAGGCACTATTGGGAGATAGCAGAACCTTGAAGGGGTGGGGCTTAGTGGAAGGTCTTAGCCAATAGTGGGTATGCTCATTAAGGGGACAATGGGACTTCAGCTTCTTTCTCTTTCACACCCATCCATTAGCTAAATGGGCCTTGTCCACCATGTGCTCCCACCATGATGTGCTGCCACAGGCCCAAAGAGAGAGAGTCAATCGGTCATGGACTGGAGAATCCAAACTGTGAGCCAAATAAATACCTCATCCTTCCCCAGGTATTTCTTATATTAACAGAAAGCTGACTAATCCATCCAACTTTTTCTAAGCAGCAATGAAGTTTTAAAACTACCAAGAAAGGTAGAGAATGAGCCTCATGTTCCTATCTGACTCAGGGAGGACACGGCTAGAGATGAGGATGACTGGGATGCTCTGGAGTGAGACACATGGACCGGGAATGCATTGATAATGGTCTTTCCTGCTGCAGGGCGATTTCAGGGTAGGTCAGGAAGCCAGGCAAGTGGACAGAGAGAGGAAGAAAACAAGGGTTAGTTCTGGAGTCTGTCTGAGCAACAGGCAGCTGCTGTAGCCCTCCTAGCAAGTTCATAGGTCCCAACCTTAGGACTAGGACCTTCCCTGAGAAGAGAATGGGCTGTACAGTCTGGAGTTCTGTAGGCAAATCCTCGTTCTTTTTTATGTACTTCAAAACTCCTTATCATGGGAAAAATAAACAAGATCATCTGTTGCTCAGTTTGGAAGGTCAAATCCCCTTATGACAAGATAGAAGAGAAATTCTAAAAAAAACATTTTTTCTAGTGTAGAAATTCATTGCATTGTAATATTGGCATATTGTAAAACAAGTTCATTGCTACCTAGAGCTTGGTCTTTTTTTTTTAAAAAAAAACAGATATAAGAATCTTAAAATGTTTTCAACTAGGATTAGTTCATTTATAGATTGCTTTAGTCATTCAACAAACAGCATGCTGCAGGCCCCAAGTCAGGTAGAAAGGAGCACAGGAAGGGAACTAAGAATCCACAATCCACCAGAATCTCCCACCAGCAGAAGACAGGCAGGCAGTGAGAGGGGCTGGCAGCTGCTGGGAAGTAAAGCTAGCTGTACCACACTCTGCATGTAACAAGAACTCCTGTGCTCTCCTCTTCAGCAAATGGTTTTGACTCTGGTACTTTCCAGGTATCCTGGCATGGTGCTGTTTGTGTAGCTATAGAGCTGAACACTGCAGAAACCACAAAAGGAATCTGAGTCACTATGCCTATTGACATAGGACTCAAGGCAGTCACATCTGCCCATCTTTGGCTGTTTGTGAACAAGGCATGATGCTCTGTTGTACTCATGCCTCCACTTTTTGCCCTTTCCCCACCTGGCCTGCCATCCACTTCCTTTGTGGGTCCACCCCTGGCTGGGGAAACCAGAAACATGACTTGCTTTCTCTTGGGTCTGCCAAGGTTTACCCAACCCCACCTCCCACACAAATCCAGATTCTGAGGCAGAGACTGAGAGCTGGAGGGCCAATACCATGTGAGCTGGGGGAAGAGTTGGCAGGACATTGGGACAAGCCAGCAGGGAGGGATCCTGTATTTTAACACCTCCTCCTCCTCCTCCTAGAGTCCTAACTTTAGACCAAAGACAAGTTGCGTAGGTGCTGAGAATAGTCACGTCTGGATCAGTAAGGGATTGTCATACTTATGTTTAAAAGGGCTCCAGTAATCCCACTACTGGGTATGTACCCAAAGGAAGTGAAATCAATGTGCTGAAAGAACATCTGTACCCCATGCTTACTGCAGCGTTATTCATAAAGCTGGGATATGGAATAACCATATGCATCCATCAGTGGATGAATGGAAAAAGAAAGCGTGGTGTGTGTTCTCAATGGAATGCTAGCCAGTCTTTAAAAAAAGATAAGAGTCTGTCATTTGTAGGAACATGGATAAACACAGAAGTCATTATGCTAAGTGAAATAAGACAGACACATAAGGACATGTACTATATGTTCTCTCTCATGTGTGGAGCCAAACAAAGCTCATCTCAAAGAAGAATAGAGGGGTGACTATCAGAGGCTGGACAGAGGTG